AATAAGCTATATTTTTTGATAGCTTTATATTAATGTAATAAAGTAACACACTGCAATAGAAATAAATGTTACGTATACTAAAAAAATGTTAATTCTTTATATAATAATATTTATGGCAAGAAAATGTATATAAATATTCAATACGGCGGATTTATGACGTCATATGAAAAACATAAAGAATATTTTTTTTTAATTATACCAATATGGGTATTAAATTAAAGTTAATTTCTAAATATATAATTGTATACATAATAAACTACTTGTAATTTATTTAAAAATTAAAAACACGTCTGCCATAATCGAATGAAAAATAATAGAAGTATTACGGGTTCATCATCGACAGCCGTGTGACGCCCACCGATGACATTAGGGGTCTCTCATTGATCTACACGCCAATCAGTCCTATGCTGCCCGCATCTAGCGGCCTCCCGCAACCTTTATAAGATCGTCGTCCACCTGATGGGGAACTACCCACAGAGCGTCATCCGGAACGCGGTCTCCATTCCAGAACAGCATCGCACTCTCCATTGCTCGCTAGGTGACCTTGAGTCTTCTTAAGGAATCCACAGTGTACGACCATGTCTCGCTTCTGTATGCCATCACTGGCAACATACACTTGTCGAAGTGTCTCATGACAAGATAATTTAACTATTTTAAGCTGCCCCGGAATCGTTAAGAGATCTCTATCTCGAAGTTGGACTTGCCGTCCTGAAGCTCCCAATTTTAACTGGAGTAGTACAACATAAATATTTGTCATTATTTTCATCTTATCCTTGTTCATCTTAAGATCCACTTTTTGGGATGCACTACTGAAATCTTATAGCATGGTGTTTAGGTCTTCCAAGGTCTCAGCCATTGGGACTACATCATCGGCAAAGCAAGGATGTGTAAGATACTTGCCATTACGTTGATGCTGTGTCCTTTTCAGTCCAGAAGTTTGAAAATATCCGCCAAAGCAGCTGTGAACAGTTTCGGACAATTAACGTGTCCCTGTCTCACACCTCGCTGCAGTTGGATTGGATTTGGGTTCTGATTCTGTAGTCGGACTGACATAGTGGCAATCTTGTCTAAATACTTTAGCACTTCGACATACCTATGGACTATAGGTACTTGGCACCTTTCGTGAGACTGCAGCACGTCTCGATTGAATCAAAAGTTTTGGCGTAGTCCACGAATGCAAGGTAGAATTGCAAACAATACTTCATCGATTTTCTAACTTGCCGTAATGTATGAATATGGTTTACGGTACTATAGCCTTTTAGGAAACCGGCTTGTTCGGGAGGTTGGAACGCGTGTTAAGGATTTGGATATTTAGTTATTCAAAAGTTGGTAATAAGTTGCATCCATAGAGTTTTAAAGCCTCATTTCACGTCGAGTTTTCATGAGTTGGAAAGTGTCATCAGAGAGTTTCTGTGTTCTGGAACGACGGGTTACAAAATATTTAAAACCTATCCAATAGACAGTGTCCACTATCATGCTGTTTAGATCATTCATATTAAATAGACTTCTTAAAAGTACTTTTGAATCATCTAACATTTTTCCCTACAACTGTTCAGTTTGTTGTTCACTAAGACATCATTGAATATTTGATTTCTTGTTGACGTGATAAAGTCTATCTCATTTTTACATAACCGTCCGGACTCCTCCAGGTCCTTATGGTTTCGCAGTTTCCTAAAGGAATTCATTATATGAATATCCTTATTCTTCATTAGATCGGGCAGCTTCAACCTCTGGCGTCCCATTGTCCAAATCCGAATTGCCCCACCTTGCCTCGGAACTCCTCACGTTTTCACAACTTGTCATCATAACTATGTTATGGGTGTTGTATATTTCTGTAGCTTTAATAATCTCCTCGTTTTTTTTATAATGCAAATGTTTTAGTCGTTTTTTATTTTAATTCTTTATTTTTAATTTTAAATAATTAATATTGAATTTAATTTGCTTTTATTTTAATGCTTGTTTAATGGATTATAATTATACATTTTTGTATTATAATGATTAATATTTGTTTAAATTAATTATTAAATTTGTCCTGAACTATTACTGTATATACATATGTTGCGGGCAAATCGATGCGCCTAGCCTATCACGATGTGCCCAAGTGATTAGTTGGACAAATCGAAAAATACGTTGCTCTCGTCGATCTTCCAAACTTCTTAATTTTTTTTTAACCGGGTCGATCGATATATTCCTGGCCAAATCAAGAAATAGTGGCATATCGTGATATGCCAGGGCAGATCTCGATCGGCTCAATTCAACGCCGCCCACGATACAAATAAAATGGAGCACTGCCGCTTGACATTCCGGTTTATTAAATAAATTTAATTCAAGCTCAGATGCCACTCAATTGTGAAATTGAGTACAAAAATGTAATAATATTATGGAATTAAATATTATTATAATTGATATACATAGTCTGCACTTCGTCATCTGGGTGCGACAGGTCGTACCATTTTGATATTCTGAGTACCAATACGCTACTCTTCCGGTCGAAACACTTCCGATGGTAACCACGTTGTTAACAAGGGACTTGTGGACGATAAACCCGACATCACCAAAGGACTGTTGGTCGCCCTCTAGGTAGTACAGCAAATTGCCGGAATCGAAGATTATCGAGTCCTCTCCCCGTCTTCGGACTGCAGATAATCTAATAACGTCCCAGCGTAACTTGGTTATAACGTCTTCCAATTCTGTAAGCTTCGCGTCAGTTCTCAGTATATTGATATTTCTCTTAATGGCTGTATTCCCTTAGTCGCTTTGTATTATACCCATGGGACGAGAGGGGATGGTACTATTCTAAACCACGCATAGAAATAAATCAGCAAAATGTATGCACTCATTCCGTACATATATAGACCATGCATGATACCAGCGTTAACAGAGAAACATGCTAGCGCACTTAATCGACACAACAATGTTATTTAAATTTAGTTGCAAAATAACTTCCCAATGGCTCATTTACACTAAACACGGACGGAGTTTAAAAGCCAAAAAGTCGGATTACGAAATCTGACCGAATTATCGTATCCCGATTTGCGGGTAGTCATGATCATCATATCAACCGAGAGACGCCCACTGCTGGGCGTGATCGCTTGCCCATAAATTAATAATGAAGTGAATATTGAAATCGCATCCGAATGATCATCATTGAAAAAATCAAAATTATATAAGCAGATTATTGGATCAATTTATTAATATAAGATTCATTAAGCTAGCCCCTGAGATCTAATAGATTTTTAAAGGGTTAACCTACTATTATTACTCACACTTATTATTCAGTAGAAGGATAATCAACTGCAGATTTTAATATTATAAAAACACCAACGACTTGTTTGATTAAAGAAGATACGTCTCTTATATTCATTTAGTTTCTCAATTGTGCCAGAAAAGATGCAAACTCGCTCATAGAATGAGTCCTCAATAGATTAGCGTAAAAATAATCACTCACATGCACCTTGACATGAGCAACATGCACGCGTCTGTCATATTGCCAAAAATTAATTGGCAAAATACCATAATACAATTATTATTTACCATAGTTTCAGCGGAAGGTACTTAAAAATTATTTGATGGGTAATCTTTGAAATTATACTCGTAACTATACACCTGTATTGATATTCTTAATATTCTTCACGAGTAGGTGTGTTGTGTTCAAACACAAGCATCTGAAAGATAAAAATCCCTTTGACGATTCATAATTTTATAAGCATTGTAAGCGTATAAAAATCACATTGTACAATGGTAGTAGGGCATACTAAGATTCTGGACTATGAACTACTAGATAATAGGCAGTTATACAAAACCCAGGGGCAGTTGCCCCCTTCAGCCCCCCAATCACACCCTGATTGATACACATGTATGTATGTGCGTACACTATGTGATAGATACGTTTACTTTTTAATACTGAAGAACAAAATTTTATGGAAAGTTAAAAATGATATAAAGAATTAAATTGATCAATTGAAAAGAAGAAAGAAAATTAAGAAAAGAATAAAACAAATAAACACTACAACATATTAAAAATGCCTACATTAGACTTTTCTACAAATTGAAATTTGACGTAAATCTATATTTTTTATAAATGAAATAACTTATAAACGGTTTCATCGCGTGTGTATTTAGTTTTATTGACGTTTCGGGCCCTTTACAGGTTCCGTGTTCACATTAAACTAAGGTGTTGATTGTTTAATGTGAACACGGAACCTGTGAACCTTTTAATTAATAGTATAGCTACGAGTACCTTAAAAACAATAAAATAATTTAATTTAATAAATGTATACATTGCCATAAAATATAAAAAAAAATGTATCGTGAATGTGTCCAATAGTATTGTTTCGAAGGTAGCTATACTCTTAATCAACAATCAATACTTAAGGCTTATGTGAAACGTCAATAAAACTAAAAACAAACGCGATGAAACTGTTTAAAAATTGTTTCATTTATCACGATCATTTCTTATTACTAAATAATTAAATCTGTAAAGTAGATGTAATTGCCTGAGCATGTTTGTAATAAAGTTCGACGACTACAGATTTGGTATTTTACAACTAATTTACTACGTTATGTACTTATATTGTTCATTAAAAAGAATAACACTTAATAATAATATGCTCATTTTTAGCGCGTGTCGTTGTCTGCATGTTAAAAACAATGTCCTCTTTGCTCCAACTAAAATATTTTTTAAAAAGGCATTTGAAAATTACTAACGCTTGCAAATATCAAGAGTTCCTGCTCCCGAATCTAATAAAACGATTTTATTTTTAAAATATACATCAGCTTTGTTAAATGTCTAAAAGAATGATGCTTCCTATGAGAGATTGTGGCCTATTTGCGTTACCACACTCTCTTTGAGTTCAACAAATATGTCCAAAGTAATGTTAATAATATTTCGTTATTAATATTAAATTTTACATTGAATATCTATCGTTATTATCACTTCATAAAATAAATAATGGTGCCATCGACGATTTGAGGTAAGCTTATTCTGCTTTGTTTTACAGAATCACGAAAAACTGTAATGCAAAAGAAATTTCAAGATAAGACCGAAGTCACTTCAGAAACGTCTCAAGATGGGACCATCACCACAAACAGAGCTTTATATCAATCCACAGAAGAATCAAGTATTCTCAAATTACAAAGTTCTCAAGATGTAGAGACAAAGAAAATGGCACATCATGTCCCATGGCGAAGGAAGAGTCAAATAGATACTGTTCAAGTAACAAAAGAGGAAAAGTTAGAGGTTAAATCTTGGCGAAAGCCTCGTCAAGAAGAGATCAAATCAGTTCAAGACATAACAACGACAGAAGACTCAAACATTTTATCTGTAGACAGAAAAGAAACGACAGAAACAGATAAAATAGAAAAAGTTAAAGATGACTTAACTACTAAACATTGGAGAAAACCTAGAATGGATAAAAGTATCGACCAGGTCGAAACAACAACGCTTACCGAAGACTCTACAATGTTACATACCCAAAAAAAGGAAATTTTGGAAAAAGAATCCAAAGAAGAAACTCTAGAAGTAAAATCTTGGCGGAAACCTCGAAAACAAGATATATCGGCTCCTAAAGTTAAGACCGATGAAATAGTACTGGAAACCTTGGAACGGTCTCAAAATACGGATACAACGCATCTGCGGAAGCCACAATCTGAAGAGAGAAAACTTATTACAACTGAAGAGGAAATCTCAACAGAAACAAGGCGTAAACAAAGGATGGAAGATGTAACTCCGAAACAAGAAAGAAAAGAAAGTATTCCGTGGACACAAGAAAGCATCCGATTACGACCAACAAAGGTCGAGAAAACGCAAATTGTAAAAGAAAAAATTGAAGACGTCTCTCTTAAACCAATTCGAAGGGAATCAACACAAAAAGTCGAAACATTAGTGGTAGAAGAATCACTAACTCGAGAAGAAGATACAATCGTATTGAAGATATCAGAAACGGAATCTCTGCAACCATCAGACGAAGTTCAGTGGAGAACAAGTAAGAGGCGTCCAAAAGATGAGGCACCAAAAGATGAAACTGTCTTAAAGTTGGTACCTCAACAGAAGGCCCCTGAAGAAGAAAAATCAGAGGTTCAATCGAAACTGGTTAAAATGCCAAAACCTGTAGAGGAAGTCAAACCACAAGAGGTTCAATGGCGTACTGGGAAACAGAAACCGAAAGAGGAAGAAGCAAAAGAAGAAATGGTCTTGAAGCCAGTACCATTACAGAAAAAACCTGAGAAAGAGAAAGCCGAAGAAGTTCAGCTAAAACCGGTAAAGAAACAAAAACCTGTGGAAGAAGAAAAGCCCGAAGAAGTCAAATGGCCTACTGGAAAAAGACGACCAAAAGAAGGAGAACCGTTAGAAGAAGTTACCCTGAAGCCAATACCTAAGCAGAAAGTGCCTGAGGAAGAAAAACCTGAAGAGATTCAGTTAAAACAGGTGAAGAAGCCACAGCCAATAGAAGAAGACAAACCACAGGAAGTTACATGGCGCACAGAAAAACGACTACAGAAACAAGAGGAACCAACGGAAAAAGTAATTCTGAAACCGGTACCTAAGCAGAAAACGTCAGAGGAAGAGAAGCCTGAGGAAATTCAGCTTAAACCGGTGAAGAAACAAAAACCTGTGGAAGAAGAAAAGCCTGAAGAAGTCAAATGGCCTACTGGAAAAAGACGTCCGAAAGAAGAAGAACCGAAAGAAGAAGTTACTCTGAAACCAATACCTAAGCCGAAAGTGCTCGAAGAGGAAAAACCAGAAGAGGTTAAATTGAAACCGGCAAAAGAAGAAAAGCCAGTAGAAGAGGAAAAACCCCAGGTTGCTCAATGGCGAACTGGAAAGAGGCATCCTAAGGAAGAGGAGCCGAAAGAAGAAGTGGTTCTGAAGCCGGTTACTAAGGAGAAGAAATCAGAGGAAGAGAAGCCTGAAGAAATTCAACTTAAACCGGTAAAGAAACAAAAACCTGTGGAAGAAGAAAAGCCTGAAGAAGTCAAATGGCCTACTGGAAAAAGACGTCCAAAAGAAGAAGAACCGAAAGAAGAAGTTACTCTGAAACCAATACCTAAGCCGAAAGTGCTCGAAGAGGAAAAACCAGAAGAGGTTAAATTGAAACCGGCAAAAGAAGAAAAGCCAGTAGATGAGGAAAAACCCCAGGTTGCTCAATGGCGAACTGGAAAGAGGCATCCTAAGGAAGAGGAGCCGAAAGAAGAAGTGGTTCTGAAGCCGGTTACTAAGGAGAAGAAATCAGAGGAAGAGAAGCCTGAAGAAATTCAACTTAAACCGGTAAAGAAACAAAAACCTGTGGAAGAAGAAAAGCCTGAAGAAGTCAAATGGCCTACTGGAAAAAGACGTCCGAAAGAAGAAGAACCGAAAGAAGAAGTTACTCTGAAACCAATACCTAAGCCGAAAGTGCTCGAAGAGGAAAAACCAGAAGAGGTTAAATTGAAACCGGCAAAAGAAGAAAAGCCAGTAGAAGAGGAAAAACCCCAGGTTGCTCAATGGCGAACTGGAAAGAGGCATCCTAAGGAAGAGGAGCCGAAAGAAGAAGTGGTTCTGAAGCCGGTTACTAAGGAGAAGAAATCAGAGGAAGAGAAACCTGAAGAAATTCAGCTTAAACCTGTGAAGAAACCAAAAACTGTGGAAGAAGAAAAACCTGAAGAAGTCAAATGGCCTACTGGAAAAAGACGTCCAAAAGTAGAAGAACCGAAAGAAGAAGTAACTCTAAAACCAATACCTAAGCCGAAAGTGCTCGTAGAGGAAAAACCAGAAGAGGTTCAATTGAAACCGGCAAGAGAAGAACAGCCAGTAGAAGAGGAAAAACCCCAGGTTGCACAATGGCGAACTGGAAAGAGGCGTCCCAAGGAAGAGGAGCCGAAAGAAGAAGTGATTCTGAAGCCGGTTACTAAGGAGAAGAAATCAGAGGAAGAGAAGCCTGAAGAAATTCAGCTTAAACCTGTGAAGAAACCAAAAACTGTGGAAGAAGAAAAGCCTGAAGAAGTCAAATGGCCTACTGGAAAAAGACGTCCAAAAGTAGAAGAACCGATAGAAGAAGTAACTCTAAAACCAATACCTAAGCCGAAAGTGCTCGAAGAGGAAAAACCAGAAGAGGTTAAATTGAAACCAGCAAAAGAAGAACAGCCAATAGAAGAGGAAAAACCCCAGGTTGCACAATGGCGAACTGGAAAGAGGCGTCCCAAGGAAGAGGAGCCGAAAGAAGAAGTGGTTCTGAAGCCGGTTACTAAGGAGAAGAAATCAGAGGAAGAGAAGCCTGAAGAAATTCAGCTTAAACCTGTGAAGAAACCAAAACCTGTGGAAGAAGAAAAGCCTGAAGAAGTCAAATGGCCTACTGGAAAAAGACGCCCTAAAGAAGAAGAACCGAAAGAAGAAGTTACCCTGAAACCAATACCTAAGCAGAAAGAGCCTGAGGATAAAAAACCAGAAGAGGCTAAATTGAAACCGGCAAAAGAAGAAAAGCCAGTAGAAGAGGAAAAACCCCAGGTTGCTCAATGGCGAACTGGAAAAAGGCGTCCCAAGGAAGAGGAGCCGAAAGAAGAAGTGGTTCTAAAGCCGGTTACTAAGGAGAAGAAAGCAGAGGAAGAGAAGCCTGAAGAAATTCAGCTTAAACCTGTGAAGAAACAAAAACTTGTGGAAGAAGAAAAGCCTGAAGAAGTCAAATGGCCTACTGGAAAAAGACGTCCAAAAGAAGAAGAACCGAAAGAAGAAGTTACTCTGAAACCAATACCTAAGCCGAAAGTACTCGAAGAGGAAAAACCAGAAGAGGTTAAATTGAAACCGACAAGAAAAGAACAGCCAGTAGAAGAGGAAAAACCCCAGGTACCTCAATGGCGAACTGGAAAGAGGCGTCCTAAGGAAGAGGAGCCGCAAGAAGAAGTGGTTCTGAAACCGGTTACTAAGGAGAAGAAATCAGAGGAAGAGAAGCCTGAAGAAATTCAGCTTAAGCCTGTGAAGAAACCAAAACCTGTGGAAGAAGAAAAGCCTGAAGAAGTCAAATGGCCTACTGGAAAAAGACGTCCAAAAGAAGAAGAACCGAAAGAAGAAGTAACTCTAAAACCAATACCTAAGCCGAAAGTGCTCGAAGAGGAAAATCCAGAAGAGGTTAAATTGAAACCGGCAAGAGAAGAACAGCCAGTAGAAGAGGAAAAACCCCAGGTTGCACAATGGCGAACTGGAAAGAGGCGTCCCAAGGAAGAAGAGCCGAAAGAAGAAGTGGTTCTGAAGCCGGTTACTAAGGAGAAGAAATCAGAGGAAGAGAAGCCTGAAGAAATTCAGCTTAAACCTGTGAAGAAACCAAAACCTGTGGAAGAAGAAAAGCCTGAAGAAGTCAAATGGCCTACTGGAAAAAGACGCCCAAAAGAAGAAGAACCGAAAGAAGAAGTTACCCTGAAACCAATACCTAAGCAGAAAGAGCCTGAGGATAAAAAACCAGAAGAGGCTAAATTGAAACCGGCAAAAGAAGAACAGCCAGTAGAAGAAGACAAACCACAGGACGTTCAATGGCGAACCGGAAAGAGGCGTCCGAAGGAAGAGAAACCGAAAGAAGAAGTGATTCTAAAACCGATACCTAAGCAGACGGCACCTGAGGAAGAGAAACCTGAAGAAGTTCAGCTGAAACCAGTAAAGAAACAGAAACTAGTGGAAGAAGAAAAGCCTAAGGAAGTCAAATGGCCTACTGGAAAAAGGCGTCCAAAGGAAGAGGAACCGAAAGAAGAAGTGATACTGAAACCGGTACCCAAGCAGAAGGCAAACGAGGAAGAAAAGCCTGAAGAACTTCACCTGAAACCGGTGAAAAAGCAAAAACCTGTGGAAGAAGAAAAGTCTGAAGAAGTTAAAATGCCTACTGGAAAAAGGCATCCAAAGGAAGAAGAACCAAAAGAGGAAGTAATCCTTAAACCAATACCACAGCAAAAGACCCCTGAAGAGATAAAACCTGAAGAAGTACAGCTGAAGCCAGTGAAGAAACAAAAACCCATGGAAGAAGAAAAGCCTGATGAAGTTAAATGGCCTACTGGAAAAAGACGTCCAAAAGAAGACGAACCGAAAGAAGAAGTTACCCTGAAACCAATACCTAAGCAGAAAGAGCCTGAGGATAAAAAACCAGAAGATGTTAAATTGAAACCGGCAAGAGAAGAACAGCCAGTAGAAGAAGACAAACCACAGGAAGTTAAATGGCGTACAGGAAAACAACGACCCAAAGAAGAGGAAACAAAGGAAGAAGTTGTTCTAAAGCCGGTGCCTACGCAGAAGTCTCCTGAGGAAGAGAAGCCTGAAGAAGTTCAGCTTAAACCGGTGAAGAAACAAAAATCAGTTGAAGAAGAAAAGCCCGAGGAAACCAAATGGCCAACTGGCAAAAGACGTCCAAAGGAAGAAGAACTGAAAGAAGAAGTTACCCTGAAACCAATACCTAAACAGAAAGTGCCTGAGGAGGAACAACCTAAAGATGTTCAGTTGAAACCAGTAAAGAAACCACAGCCAGTAGAAGAAGACAAACTACAGGAAGTTAAATGGCGCACAGGAAAACGGCAGACAAAAGAAGAGGAAACAAAGGAAGAAGTAGTTCTGAAATCGGTACCTAAGCAGAAGTCTCCTGAGAAAGAGAAACCTGAAGAAGTTCAGCTTAAACCGGTGAAGAAACAAAAAACTGTGGAAGAAGAAAAGCCCGAGGAAACCAAATGGCCAACTGGCAAAAGACGTCCAACGGAAGAGGAACCAAAGGAAAAAGTAGATCTCAAGCCTAAATCCAAGCAAGAACCTTCTGAGGTGGACGTGAAGCCTGACGAAGTTCGGTTAAAACCAGTACAAAAAGAACCTTTAATAGAAGAAAGTAAAGTGGTTGAAGAAATTATTGAAGAAAATAAACAGAAAAAGGTAACTGAAACTAAGCCAGATATCACGATGGAGGAAGAAGTTACGAGAGTGATCAAGCACAAGAAAACTGTCAAGAAACAAGATAAAAAGAAAGGTAAATTATATTAATAATTTGTAACATTATTTAAATTAATTGAACAAATATAGGTTGTAGTATACCATATACGAACATATACATAAAGTTATTAATTATAATATCGAAACAGATGCATGGCTATAAACACACTTATAGTAACATCAACATACATAAGACATTCTGCCACAAAATAAAATATCCGTTAACAAACAGACGTTAGCTATTTTTATCATACTTTCTTCTGTGTCTGTACATTAGTGTAGTTTTACAAATTATTATTCTTCTCTAACTTTCTTATTTCCCGGCTAATTTTCATGAATAGTTTAAAAGATCGTTACTATTAAAATTTCATTCCTTACAATAGATGCATTGTACAGTTTTTCATTTCTAATAGGATTAATTCCAACAAACTGAACAAGAATTACATTTAGGTTTCATATATTTATAATACATATTTTCCAGAAGTCGGCCCAATTATAATAACCCCTATTACGGCCCAGCACGTGAAGGAAAGCGATGATTTCGAACTTAGCGTAGTCTTCGACACTGACGTTAATAGCAAATTGACATGGTATCGCAATAACCAAGTTCTGGAGCCCAATTATGACTGTATAATTAATACAGAATCTAATAGATCCACCATTAAAGTCTTAAACACAGATAAAAAGAAGACCGGCAAATACGAAGTAGTAATTGAATCTGATAATAAAATAGTGAAGTCGGCCAGTTCAGTAAAATTACTTAAACCATTTGAAGAAGACCAGATCAATCCACCTATATTTAAAAGGCAACTCCAGCCCAAGAAAATTTATTTAGGTGACATCGTACTATTAGAAGTGGAAGTAATGTCGAGTCCGAGTGCGTCTTTTGTATGGTTTATAGATACTAAAGAGGTTACATCGCTAATCAAAGAGAATAAACTAAACAACGTTTATGTTACAAATAGAATGAATGTATCTTGTTTGTGCATTGAAAATATAACAGAGGATTTGGTGGGCGTTATAACATGTAGAGCAGAAAATTTTGCTGGGTCAATATCAAGTTCGGCATCTCTTATTATTTCTGAAGATGTACAGCCAGATTTAATAGGTCAACCACCCGAGTTTATCAATCCCCTGAGATCATCCACTATCATGGATGGTGAGCCGATCATATTGTCTTGCGAAATTACTGGAAAACCTTGGCCTAAAATTGAGTGGTATAGAAACGATGAAAATATTAAAAAAGCTAGAGATGTTGTTTTTGCCCGCCAAGTGTCCGGGCTATGTGAATTGTGTATTAAAGAAGCATTTCCTGAAATGTCAGGGAAATACAGCTGTGTAGCAACCAACACACTGGGCTCAGCAATCAGCGAATGTATAGTAAACGTAGAAGGTAGAAAAAATGGTTCTCATTTTAATCGAAGTATCACGACTGCATGACCTGCATGTGATGTATAAGTACATTTCAAAAGTAATCTGCAATTTATCATACAACTTACTATTAACACTAACACACACTTGCCATGCATCTGTAGAACAAATATTTGGAAAGTAAAAAAATGTAATGAGTCTTAGTAGTTTTAACAAAAATTCAGCCAGGTGCACAAACGTCCATTAAAATCGTCATTTGTTTAAAGGAACACTACCAATACAAATTGCCATTCATTAGAACTTAAAGGCGATATTAAACCTTAATGGACGTTTGTGCAACAGACCTAAGATTATAATAACTAAGAGCTATTAGTTTCACAAATGCCTGAGTCTTGAATAGATAACTATCAAAAGAGGCGAATATATAAAATTTCACAAAAGAAAATGTGGTCACTTTCGATGGTTAATTTATTTGAAATTCTCAAATTTATCGTGATATTGTCTCCAGTGATATAATAAATAAATAGTATACCACATCATCATTATTTAAGTTGCTTTTTGCACACGATGGGTTGAATTAATATTTGGCACAGACTGGCATAAATATTCTGATGTGATTTTGAACGATACAAAAATATTAATATAATGTGAAGTGTCCGCAATTTTATAAAGATTTAAGCTATTGATGCTTGAGTTTTGGTAGCTTAATGAATGTGGCTGCGATGATGACAATATCAATTTCATAAGCTTACAATTATGTATTTTGATAATGTTAGTTTTATTTTTAAAGTAGAACTGGTGAAGCTATCGACATTAATTTATTTCACCGATACCATAGGTAGTTCTGAAAAATGGATAGAGTACTTCCAGTTTTAAATGCTTTCAAAATGTTTGCAGCTTATGAATACGTGGCTAGTGCATCCGAAGAGGATATACTAAGCGATGAGGTAAGAACTGCAGTATATAATATTAACTGTGTTGTTATTAAAAGTGAACGCTGCAAATGATATTTCGAAATTTTACAGAAAACTAGTGACATTGAAGAATTTGCACCTCGTATTGTAAAGGCCTTACCAACGGTAGTATCCAGTAACGAAGGAGAACTAACCAGGTATTTCGTCGTGGATAATAAACATTTATTTGTTGTTCACCACAGCCATGCCAACGTTGTAAAAGTCCCAAATATTTATTTTTAATTTAAACGATTACTTTTTTTGACCCCTATTACAAACACAAGATATAATACATTAGAATAATACATATGATACTTTTAAGCATATTTCATTAAGAATATTTTTCAGTATGGCATTGTGAATGCAAATTTGATGAAATATTATAAATACGTATGATATTTACTAATAATAACTAACATAAATTAGTTTTAGTGAAGGCAATTTGTTGCACTGTACGTGAAAAATTGAAATATTTTTTTCCCACTATATGCAGTATAGCAAGATCGCACATATATTTTTTTATTACAAGAGAGTCTTAAACTTCCTCGTGAACGTAATATTTTGTAGTAGTTTCAGCAAACACGTATATAGAGCACGATTTAATATCGTCCTTGTAAATAACATTGGAATCAAGTTTTCCGATTAGATGTATTTGTTATTCAATGCAAATCTCCATGTTATTTTAATTATTTTGTATTTTAAAAACAGAATTAAATAAAGCATCCCATAGTTCCATCCATTGATAATTTTATGTTATTAGTGCAATACTAATATTGAAAATTATAATGAATCCTTCCAGCGGCTGCGCCCGTGTGATCTAGTTTTAAGTCCAGAATTGAGAAAATTCCATAAAAAACTTTCGTCCCCTAATTTACCCCCTTTGTTGAATTTGGTTGAATTTGGTAAATTCCAATCTTAGTGAGCACCTACGTCCTAAAAAGAACCCGCATGCAAAATTTGAAACTCCTAGCACTTGTAGTAACGAAGTTTCATACAAACTTTCATCCCCTATTTTACCCCATTAGGAGTTGATTTTCATAAAATCCCGTCTTCTTGAGCACCTACATCCTAAAAAGAACCCGAATGCAAAATTCCTAGCACTTGTAGTTTCTGAGATTTCGTGATGAGTGAGTGAGTGAGTGAGTGACCTTTCACTTATATATTAAAACCGTGACGTTCGACCTTAAACATTTTCCCAGATTGGAAGCGAAAGCGATAGGTGTTCCAAAACCACAAATAAGATGGATGAAACAAGGCGTCGAAATAAAACAATCGCAAGAATATCAAATAGAGGAAATGGATGATGGCACTTCAATACTTATAATACCAGAAGTGTATCAAGACGACACGGGTGAAATTAAATTCGAAGCATACAATCCTCTTGGCGTTACCTGTACTATAGCGGCGTTGTCTGTTTCGAGTAAGTTGTTCCAAGGCTAGATAATTACTAAATTTGTTTCATAACAGAGTCCGCTAGTCGCGTACATCGTCCATTGAGGTAAACTTACATATAGAGGTAATTAATAATTTAATTTAATCCAACAAATTGCTACTTCTTTGACAGGTATCAGCACCGGTAACATCACTTCGTTGGAACAATCAATTTTACCAATACCCTTACCTAATATCCAGTATAAGCCCACAGATAGATTTCCACACGTTCACACGGCAATTTCATAATATTCAAAATAATCACACAATTTCCCAATGTGCCAGAACTATAACAGTGTACGATCAGGTTCTAACTTAAGATTCAACATCTGTGAAATTACACGACATGTATTGAAATTACAATTGACGATGTAAAATTACAATTGACATATTATTGTATTAAACTTATTATTGATTTATATTTTTAGGCATAATGGGAACGAAAGAATACAGGAAGCCAGAATGGGTAACGCATATGGAGGAGTTACAAGCCGCACTAAAAGGTAATACATATATTTAATACTTTTAACATCTAGATCCTAATCACGATAATTAGAGTGTAGGCTGTAACATCAAGATCGATTAGTATGGAAAAGTCTGAAATTATAAGACATACGAAGATATGTATGTTCTTAAGAAACATGTCATCGATTTTACTGAAGAGAAAAACTGTATTGCTCAAATCAAATCAAATGGGAATCGAACCCGGACGTTTTAATAATAAAACCTACATTATTTCTAATTAAACAACGATTGTGTAACACTATGAAACATGATGTTCAAAATGGATAAAATTCATTTTTTCCATATCCTTTAATTTACATTTTTCTAATATCTACTACATTCGGCTCGTTTAGGTGCGTAACATTGTCTCTATCGTTGGTTGTTTTATTTCTGTCTTCGCCTTTTATACGTTTAACATATGACGCCATTTTAATTTTGCTTAAGACCTACACAAGTGGTATTAATCCATATTAATACAGTAAGTGGCAGTAAACCAGTAAAAGTGTGTAAGAAAAATAAACAATGGCTTTAATAAAAGTAACATATTTACATAAAATGCACACGTACATTCTATAAATATACAATACATACTCGTAAACATACATAAATAAAACAGATAGAAAAAGGCTTATTTACAAGATTGAGATAGTGTTCACGGATCAGTCATAGCTTCCATAATGTAGGAGTAGGGCATTCCAGAGTCGTGTGGCAGTAAGAGTAAACGAGTAAGAAACGAAACCAGAAGAATGGAGAGGAGTTTGCAGACAGAGGCTCTTAGAAGAGCGAAGGTTACGGATATGAGACGATACCACGTACTGAAATCAAAATTTTAGACATACTGGAGCGCGTAGATCGAATAGAATATTGGAAAAGCGGACAAACAACTCTCAGATTCCTGCGCTCACGAATAGTATGCCATTTGAATTGCTGGCGATATAGGGAGATATGGTCATATTTACGTAACCCGTAAATGACACGAATACAGTTACTGACCAGGCGATCCAAATTTATTTAGAAGATTTTCATTAATATTTGTATCTAAGTACAAATAATGGAAGTTTTAATTTCAGAACGTCCGGGGGATTCGATTCTCGAACTGAAAACAATTTTTTTTAATGTATGAATGAAGTTTCTGTGTTTACTAAAATCAAGGACAAATCTTTGTATGTGTTATAAGTTTTATACTTTCCCATACTGACCGCTCATCTCGATGCTGTATAATATAATGTGTAACGCCGTATTATTTCAGAGTCACTAAAATAGTATTACAAATAGAAAAGGACTAGAGACAGTTCTTTTAAGGTATCTCCCGCCCGTTGACTTGAAAAGAAGACCTTTAATACAGTTGCATGATATTACCGCGATACGATTTGCATATCAATAAAACTAAATATAAACCTAATGCGGTATGAACTAAAGTCATTGGTTTGTTAATTAAACTGTATTTTACAGCGACTCAATCGGTGCCAACTTTCGTGAAGGACATATTAGGTGAACGTGTACATGAAAATGATACGGTGACCTTTGAAGCAATCTACAGTGGAAATCCCGTACCAGGTGAATATTTCGAAGATGTATTGCATTCCATATTACAATATCTAAATTATTAGAAATGAACAAATACTGAAATAAATAATTTTCTGGGACAAGCAAGTATTTAGGCACCACTCAAAATGTTAAATGTATAGCAAGAGACTAATTAACCATAATACTGTTGCCTTAACAAAAAAAAAGTTCTCAAGCCGCATTCAAAAACGTTCAGTAACAATTGGCTATAGTATGTTACAGAATTTTATATATTATAAATAGTTTCACAGTGGTTTCATAGATTACCTCATAAATAAATACATATTAGTTGCATAACACATTGTTCCATAATATCGTATAATGCCATTCACCCTATCCAGCTTTTATTACAATTACTGTGATGCAACATTAACATTGTACAACTGCTGTAAGAGCACCTTAAACCTCTTACTGCAAAGATTGCATTTAAGGCAATGTTGGAAAAGAGGCTTATCATATTATTGGTTTAGATTTTAGTAAATTTATTTTATTAACTTAAATACAATAATATTTGTTATAATGAGTTCCTTTTGGCATAATCACTTTAACGATTATACATCGGTTATTTATGACAAAACTTGAATCCGTCTATGACTAGTATAGCAATTATTTGTGTATTTTAAATGGTAAAACAATAATATTAAAAATTGTTACAGAAATATTATGGTATAAAGACGATAAAGTGATAAGAACGGACGAACGTTTCGAAATAATTAATGAGAATAATCGCACCACCTGCACTATCCGAAGTGCTAGTAAAGAATTCGAAGGAACATATATGTGTAAAGCGGTCAGTGACATAGGAATGGCAATCACAAAAGCGAAATTGCAGGTATTCGATAGAGGAGTAAAGATTAAAAAGCAAACTGCAAAAGAAGTTAAAGAAAAAATTAAAAAAGAAAAAGTTGTGAAACGTGAAGATACGTTCGTTGAAAAGGAGTCGGCTAAGGAACTCACCGAAGACCTGCTGGAACCAGCTACTATTACAGCAGTTGAACCAATTAATGAATCATTGCCGCTGCCAGAAGTAAAAGAAAAGAAAGCCAAAGTAATTGTTAGTGAAGCAGAGCATGTAGAAACAACTGATGTAGCTTCATACAAGAAAATTGACAAAAAAACAAAATCTCAGCCTATGTCAGAAAACGTGGAACCAGTTGTAACACCTCATGATTATTTAATATCACTGCAACAGCAAAAAGAGGAAACAGCTCAACCTCTAGAAAGCGACTTCTTTGAAAAACAAAAAGGCATCATAAAAATGGTCGATACAGATTCTCGAGTCGTTGCAGAAATAAATGAATTGCTTGAAGTAATTAATGCTAAAGAATTCGGTCCTGGTGAATCCCCACTACGTGAACTAGCCAAGATTGGTTACATGTTAAGGCGTGGTGTAACAATTAATGAAATAGAGAGTTTGTATGACTCGGAATACTTTCCTGCTCTGCGGATCCCACAGTCACAATCAGCATTGGTGCAATTAGTAGAGCGTCAAGGACACGGTACGCTTATTACAGAAGTACTTACTGAAGAAACTGCTCAAGATGAAAACATTATCGCTGCAAAAGTGGGCTTCCGGGCTTTCTTGAAAATGGTAGAAATGAAGCATTCTTCAGTTGAGGAAGTTATAGCTCACTTTTACCCGGAGGATTTCAAACCTCGATCCTGGGAACAACGAGAAGCTAATGAAGTAAGATTCATACAGCTTGATTTTTATTTATAATTTAATACATTTTAATTATGTTTTTTTTTTTATTATTTTAGGTTATTGTCGAAACATCCGCTGAACTATGTGCAGAATCACATATGCCAACAGTATTAAAAGGTACGATCTTTTTTTAAAGTAATATATTGCTACAAATAATATGATTTAAATAACATAATTTCATGCATTTAATTACAAAATAATTACATTGCATTAAAAATATTTGGATATCCTAGCGCGCAGAAGATTTAGTAAAAGATACAGTTAGAAAGGTATGGTAAGATATGGTAGCTTCGATTTTCCGCACTAGTTGCCATTGTGGATCCGTCATATGCGAAAAGTTTGCTGTTTTACGACAATAACTTTAAATTGAATTAAATAAAAGTATTCTTTCCGAATAAAATTAAGATATTTAAATGCAGTTCATAGCTTAGACTACATTTTTATAGGAATCCTTTTTCTAACCATCATAGCACTCGTGCCCCGCTAAAAAGGATACATTTGATTCTAATAATTATAAAGAAATTATACCATTTTTTATCAATACATTATAATTTTCTTTTTAACAGACGACACAACAGTAACAAAGGAACGAGGTAAGATTTGATTGTTTTTGGTAGCAGGTTTAAAACTTTATTCTCAATGCTGACTCATGCTTTGAAATGACAAACACGCGGATATAGTTTGGCTTAAATATCTAACGCTTAAGCTTAAGCTTATGTAAATAAAATAAAACAAATCTACTTCAATTAATGCCTACAAATACTAAGTAGATATTTTATGCACTTGTTGATGTTACACTAATAGATAAGATGATTTCTGATAGATTTGGTCCAAAATGTAATTTTTATACCAGTTTTTTAATATAAAAATACTTATTAATAAAGGAAGTCCAAGACTCATATTGGTATACTGTCAAGTCTTTAACTTCATATCAAAAATAACATTATTAGGCTCAAAAGTCCTAAATTGATTAATAAAAGATTATCAGTTAACTGAAAATGAAAAATACCTTATTCAAATAAGCTTCTTACAAGCACTTTTGAGTTGTCCAAATATTTCTCCCTACCACTGGACGTCTTTTGGCTTACAAGAAGAACAAGCGAATTAGTTGTTACAAAGAAGTAATTGATATGGAGAAATATGAGGTCTATATTATCATATTATATAAAATCATATATTTTTTTAAGCCTATCACTACTTGTTTCCATTGGTAATTGGTAAATTACAATTTCGGTCATAAGTTATTTAATAAGAGACTAATTCTCATGTCTAATTTCTGTATCAGCATCAGTTTTTTATTTAGTTTAAGTCACAGAACAGATACACTATAAAAATATTGCAAATCTTCTTTCTTGCTATTGTAACCATCTTGAGCTTACTAATGCATAATATTTTGGGCAATAACCTATCACCTCCCTTATATTTTATGCAGCTCTAAGATTCTTCACTTGGCTTCGAGATATTGTGCTGTGCCTAAAGTTTGTGATATGAAAAAATAAACTAACGTAAGTATTTTTGTTCAACTATCGCTCTTAATACACTAGCAGAGTAACACTTTTACAACTTTTTAACAGTATAGCGTAGTTACTATTTAAACACTTGCCTGACTGTGCATATACGCATGTACATAATTCAATTTAAAATATTCTTCTCACCCTTATTTATGTCGTTTCAAACACTTTACTATGATTCCACAGATATTAAAGAAAAGGGGAAGAAAGATCGAAAAATTAAAATATTAGAACAAGAAATTGTTCAAATTGGCGAAGAATCAGAAGAACAAACACGAGTAATACAAACGTCAAGATCCAAAGAAATAATAGAACATTACGATGAAGATAATACTGGAACATTCGAAATGGAACACATCCCTTATATAAAGTCTGTCGCTGCTGATATTTCTGAAAATAGAATTGAAGTGATTCCATCAAGTGAAGTTTCACATATTTTATCTACCAAGGCAGACGATATCACAGCAAATGTTAAAATAGATACCAGTTACCCTATTATCAATGAAACTCAAGAATTACATGAGAATGAAACTCCGTTGCTGATAAAGGAAAGCACTACCATGAATATTAAGTCATCCATATCCGAAGTGTTGCCATTAGAAGTTATTGAAGTGGAAGTCAAAAATTCTTTGGAAGAATATATATCTAAGCCCGTGAATCAAACTAAAGCGATAAAATCAATTGCTCCTGTCGAAGGAGTAATCACTTCTGAAGTTCTTAGTAGTACCAATGTTGCTGAATTAGTAAAAGATGAAAAACAGTTACAGAAGGCCAAGCAAGACTTGATGCTTAAAGACGCTCTAAATGTATCAGAAAATATAGCTTCTGATAAAGAAGCAAGTTTTACGGATATAAAGGTTAAAAAATCTAATGCCGCCGTGACATTTTCTCCTATGATAGGATTAAATGTAACAGAAATCAAAGACGAACTTAAAGAACATGAAATTGTAGATCTTGCAAATGAAAAAACTGCTGTTTCTAAACTTAATTTTAATTTATTCGAAGGATTAGAGATAGGTGAAGTTTACGTAGAAGATAAATCGGGAAAATACTACCCAGAGCTAATAGTTCCAACTGAAACTGCTAAAAAGGAAGTTATTGTTTCAAACCAAATATTGACAGAAATACAAAATATTCAAGAAAAGGAAGGTTCATTATCAGCAATAAAGATACCACCTATGCAAGAAGCCAATATTGATATTACTTCAAAAGATAGTTTCGTTGTTAGTATCAAACAATCACATGAAAAAGAAGATGAACTCTTCATTGACGAGACTCCAGCAAAAATATCTTTAGATGAAGAAATTATTTTACATTCAAGCTTGGATGCGTCTTCTGTCACAGCACATTTTAAAGAAAAAGAATTCGCCATTCAGCCAATTGTAACTAAAAAAGCTATCGTAGGAGTAAATGAGCATCACCATAAATTCAACATAGAAACTAATGTTCATGATTCTGAATTAATACTTGAAAAGGATAACCCATCTTATGGCCATAAAGCTGATGTGACTGTATCGGTTTTGGATAAACATATTGTTGAAGAAGTACATGTCAACGAAAGTGAAAAAGATCTAATAATTAAGGATGATCTACATACAGTTATGGCTGATTTAGATATTGATACTATGCAACCAATAATTACCTCTGAAGTCATGCAAATTACATCTATCGCTAACCTTGAAAATTTTGAGAAAATTAACAACGAATCTGCTACCGAAACTTTAGTTACTACTAGTGCTAAAATAATTGAATCACCAATGATTCATGAACAAGAAGTTAAGGAAGACTATGTCATGAAAATGCCTCAAAACGTAACAACTAATGTAGTGCCTAATTTGTCATTAACGGTTTCGGCAACCGAAATATCAGAAAGTGAGAATAAACTACCAATTGAAAAAATCCCAGAAACACTTAACGCAAAACCAACACCTACGCATAATTTGAAAACATCTATATCTCATGAAATAACAACAGCAGATCAAATCGATTTCATTAAGGCTGCTGAAATCATAAAAGAAAAAGCAAGCGAACAGACAGACTTGCAAAAGGAAATAACAATTTTACAGACAACAATTGACGAACAAATACAAAATTTGGAAAAAGAAAACACAACACATGGAAAAGCAACTTCAACTTTTGTCGAGGAAGAAAGTTTAAATGTCACCGAAGTCATTTTAAGCACCGCTGAAGGAAGTTTCAAAACAGAATCATTACAACCAAACAATTTTGCTAAATTGGATATAGATGTAGACCACAGAATTGCTTTGACATCTGAAGTGAATCCGGAGGACGTAATAAATAATTTAGAATCACTTAAACCAAAATTACAAGAAGCTCATATGAGCTCTGATGTTCAAACTTCAATTGAGGTATCAGAAAACCGAGTTTTAGACAGCCAATCAATATTACCTAATGATGTAAAACCGGAACATAAAACCATCGAACCTCATTTTATTACAAGTGATGAAACAGTAAGCATCACAGAAATTTTACAACATGAAAAAGAAGAAGATTATGAACGAAAAACTTGTCCTGAAACATACGTAGCTTCTACTGATTTCGAAGGACGCCCAGTAGCAATACTCTCCGAATATGTCACAGATTCAAGTCTTGGCATTGCAGAAAAAGGAAACATTGAAATTCAATCAAAACGAGCAAAGATTGAGAGCATTCCTTATAAAGAAATTATTATAAGTACCCCAAATTCACATGAAAAAGAATGTATTTTAGAAGAAGAATTGAAGCCGACCACGTTTATGGCATCATGTGATATCGGCTCAAAACAAGCAATTATCATTGAAGAAACAAAGCCTGAATCTCCGATTACTCCTTTACATAAGATAGATAGTGTTCTCCTCGCAAATGCAAAGGAAGGTACTATTGCAAAAGAAGCAATCATTCAACAAGAAACTATAGCCCACTCGTCAGAAACTGAATTGATAACGAAAGCAACAGACATAGTCTTAAAACCAAACGTATCTTTAACAACTATGCAAGCCCCTGAATACAAAGAAAATTTATTAATTGAAAGTGAAGATAACTTTCTTACGCCTAACGTACCTGACCAGCAAAAAGCAGACTTTTCATTACCTGTTGATCATGAATTACAAACCTCAGAAATTTTATCACAATCTGATAATCTTGTAGGTACTAAAGATTTTGAAGTATCTTATAAAAAGGCTTTAACAAAAGTAGATGAAATATATGGCAAAGCAGCTCATACACAAGAAGTTATTGTAAATCAGCAAGCTGAGGAATTCAAAAATGAAATTCATGTCGAACAAAAATCGAATGTTAATACTGCTTCTTCGTTTATTACACTTGAACAAACAGAAGTTATATCTGCAGATAAAGAAATACCTTTAAAGGAAGAGAAACCCAAACAATCCAATATCACACCAGAATATACAGAAAAAGAAGCAGTTGTTACAAGTAATGTTGAAGCTATTCACAAAGAGCAACATTTTGAAGGCAGTTTCTCTGTTTCTAAGCGGGAGGCGTCAATAAGTTTTGTACCTTTTAATACTACCACAAACTCGGTAATATTATTATCTAGCACAACTAAAGACTTACAACAAACATCACCGACTACATCTGAAGCCGATGTAATGCCTTTAGAAATGCAAAAACATGTACAAGAAACCGAAATATTGTTAGCAGAAAAAGAATCTGAACTAAAACCGACAATTAAAGATCTGCATATGGCATCACCAAAAGTTTTTGAACAATTAGCACATGAAATAACTGAAGTTAATTTAATGGAAACGGAGAACAACTTGAAAGACACTAAAGAAATACAAGGTAAACAAGCGCAAAAATCTATTACTGAGCAGCAATCACTGATTAATACTGAAATCGTTGCCACTCAGGACAGTCAAGATATAATTGCACCAAATCAATCATTCGATAATGCTCACATCAGCCAAGGGTCCCAAGAGGCAGTACAAAAAACAGAACCATTCGTGGGTGAACAGGAACAAATATTAAAAATTGAAAAACTCGATAAAAAAGTATCAAAAGAATTAATTGATGCTTATAAGTCAGTTGACATAACAGAAGTAATATTAACGGACTCAGAGAAACCTCTGCAAAACCCATCATTAATAAAGTCTAAAATATCCAACGCTGAATTTGAAGAAAATCGCTCTATTCGTGTTTCTGAAGTAACGGTAACAGAAGCAGAACAACTTTTGACAGAAACGATACCTGAAAGAAAACATTTAATACCATCACATGATTTAAATTTACACTTAAGTTTAGACACAAATGAAAACATTATAAATGAAGGTGAAAGCCCTTTGATAATTGAAAATACTCAGAAGTCACAGCGAGCTGGATTAATAATTGAACCTCAACAACACTTAACTGTCATTGATAATGAAATAAGGGAACAAGAAGGGATTATCAAGACAGAACCGATATCAAAAATAGATGGTCAAAATTTAGAAGTCAAAGCCTCCCATCATATAACGACTGTTGAAACTGTAGTAGTTGAAGATAGTTCTGATTTTAATAAACAGAATATATCTAAAGAAGAAACTGCTAAAACATCCCAATATTTTACAGAAGCACTATATCAAGAACAACAACAAATAATTGAACAGACCAATGAATTACCATCAATGCTACAGAAACCTAAATCTCAAGCTGAGCAAAATATTGAAGGCTTAAAGCCATTACAACAATCAGTTACAGTTCCGGAAGAAATATCTGACACCTTCATGAAGTTTATTGATAAGGAAGAAACTGCGTCAGTATCCCAAATAACATTGAAGGAATTAGTAAGCGGACAAACACAAGTTATGGAAACTGCTTCAAATTTATTTTGTAATTATGAATTGGAAAAAAATCAAGCAGATTTTCAATTAGAGCTTCATAAATCTTACGCCATTATAGAAAACACGACTAATGAATTTCCTGATTCTTTAAATCCATTAGAAAAAGAATCTAGAATAGCGCATGAAATGGTTATTGATTTTAAGCCATTAAATCAAACAGAAACAATACCAACTGAAACCTTAAACGACTTCTTGAAGATTAAACTGGATAAAAAAGAAAAAGCAGAGACTAGTCACACAACATTACAAGAAATGTATATCGCTAAGCCCGATGTAGTCGAACACGTTAAAGAATTAACATCAAGTTATATCCCAGAAAAAAACAAAGCGTTATTAGAAATAGAAACACATAAAACTTACACAATTTCTGAAAATGTTACAGGCGAATTTTCTGAAAATATTGTTTGTAAAGAACAGATTCAAAATCAAGGAACGTTACAAGTTCTAGATTTAAAACCTTTAGAACAAACCGAAGTAATACCAAGTGAAAATACAGAAAATGTAAAAGATATTTACAAATCGGAGGGAAAAACTATTCTCCCAAAGCATACAGAAATGCATCCTATAACTTTAAGTAATATCATTGTACATGAGGATGAAGTAGAAAGAACAATTGAAAAACCATCGAAGAAGGAAAAAGCTGAAGCTTCGTTTGATACAGTAGAAGGGTTATCAGTATATGAAATAACAGAGGAAGATTCAGAAAGCAGTTTTCTATCAAGCATAGGTAAATCAGTAACTGCTGAAAAATCGATTACACCAATGACACATCTGCAATGTACTGAAAATATAACAGAATTACAGGCAGATGAATTCACGTCATTAAAAACAGAATCTAAAACACCAAAATTGACGCCCTCAATAATATCACCATTGATAGTAACAGACAACACAATACTGCAAAAAGAAACAAACTTTCATATTACAAAACCAAAGAAACAAACAACACAAAAAGGTTTACACATAGCAAACGAAGTTGAAGTAACAACCAAATTTGTAGATGAACAGACTATACCTATACCCGAAAATACTGAAAAATTATTCTCTATAATAAATGCGAAAACTTCTGAAGATCATCATCATAAAGTGGCGATTACAAAGCAAAATACTTACATAGCAGGTAAGCAAATATACATAGTATGCAGATTAAAATATGTTTATTTGCCTTAACAGTTTCTATTTGCGTATTCATTTGCGAGAAATTTGCAATCATATTAACTACTAAAAAAATCATCGGGGAGAAGTTAGAATTGACACCGCAATAGAGATAATGACTATTTTTTGTCTGTGGGTTAGTTAGGTTGATTATTGAAGAATATTAAACATGTACTTTGTAATTTTTTTATAATCAATAAATTACGGCGTTGCAATGATTTAAAATGTCACATGACTTTACACCTTGGTAAATTTTCTACACAAGTGTGACGTAGCGAGCCCCAACTCTTCAACAATTTCTAAAAAGCTATTTCTAATAATATATATATATGTTTTTCTAATAGTAAAAAAATATTCAATATATTTTTCAATCATGTGACTGACGGACACAATACAATTTCTTTACTTTATTCAGGAATCATTCGTATGTTATTAAATGAGTTTGGCATAATAAACTACGAATTTAAATAACACTGGACGTAAATAATAAATATTTTAAGTAGTATGTCGCTATTTTCTCACAAAAGAAAAAAACAACAACAACAACAACAAGTAAAAAACCAACAAACGGATATACCATTGGATAACATTTTATCATCACCTAAGCTTTTCTAAAACTATCAAATACAAATAACTAACATGCACCCAATCATTACAAAATACATGAAAATTCAACTATTTTTCAGACGTAACTGAAGATTTGCAGCAATCCCCAAAATCATCAGATTTCGAAGAAACAGAAGAAATTATAACTAAGTTCTCTAAATCAACCGAAAACGGAGAACCAAAACAAACAAAGACTAAACGAACCATTCTCAGGAAAAAGAAGAGTGACACAAAGCACAGAGATGAAGGTGATGTAGTAATAGAAGAAACTTTAGACGATGATGAGATGATTCTGCCTAAAATCGAGACCAAACATGATGTGGATATAGAAGAATATGAAGGTGATGAAAATATTTTAGAAGACTCAGAAAAAAGCACAATAGAAATGCCGGATGAAACATATACAATACCAAAAATGTTGACACAGGTAAAAATTGAGGAAATGATAGAAGAAGAAAAAATTACAGCATCAGAAGAGAGTGATACAAACATCCCCCATAAAGAACAAAAGACAAAAAAGAAAATTTCTCGTAATAAAAAAGTTACAGAAAAGGCGAACACCGAGACAAAAGAAGAAAATTTGCCAATAAATATAGTAGAATTGCCAGAAGAAACAGACATCATAGAAACTATAACACCACTAGGTGACAAAATTCAGAAAAAGATTACTAAGCGTATAATCAAAAAGAAAGTAGGGCCTAAAATAGAAACCACTGAAATTGTCACAGAAAAAGAAGACGATAAACAACCTGTCATATCGGTACACACAACGGAAGAATTCGCAGATGATGATACAAAACCATTCGAGACGATTTATGAAAAAGATTCAGCAACTGTAGTCGAAGAGCCAGAACATGTACAGTTCAGTCAGGTGCGTACCGAAACGGGTGATGTTAAGACTGTTAAAAGCACGAAACGCATTATAAAGAAAAGAAAAGGGAAAAGCGAACAAATAACCGAAGTCCTTACTACCCAAGTAGGCGACGAAGCTCCGATCACCACAGTCAATATAGTAGAAGACGAACCAACCGCAGACGAAATCAAGCCCTTAGAAGTTGTAGAGTTGCCCGAAGAAACGGCAGTTGAAGAATTACAGACACCGGAAGGTAAGATCACTAAAAAGAAGATTACAAAACGTGTCATTAAAAAGAAAGTGGGACCCAAAATTGAAACAACCGAAATAACAACTGAACAAGTAGATGATCAAACACCGGTAATATCAGTACATAAAACAGAACAAACTACGGATGAAACAACTGAACCATTTGAAATTGTCCATAAACCAGAATCTGCAAAATTCATAGAGGAGGAACCAGAAACAGTACAAGTAACAAAAATAAAGACAGAAACCGGTGATATCAAAACCGTCAAAGTTACTAAGCGCGTCATCAAAAAGAATAAGGGATCAAAGCAGGAAAAGACTGAAATCGTTACGACCGAAGAAGATAACAAAGCTCCGATAACAACTGTCAATGTCACAGAAGAAGAAAAGCTGCTCGAAACTGTAGAGTTGCCAGTAGAAACTGTAATTGAAGAAAAAGAAATGCCAGAAGGTAACAAAAGTCACAAAAGAATTACTAAAAAGGTTCTTAATAAGAGAAAAGAACCGCAGAAAGAAACCATGGAAATAGTCGCGGAAAAAGAAGATGACAAACAACCAGTCGTATCTGAACACACTACAGAAGAACTACTCACTGAAGTTACAGCACCACTCGAAACCATATATGATACCGATTTAGCAACTGTAGTTAAGGAGCCAGAGCATGCACAATTTAGTCAGGTGAGTACTGAAACTGGAGACGATAAAACAATGGAAACCATAAAACGTGTAATAAAGAAAAAGAAAGGTCGAAAAGAAGAAATCACAGAAGTGCTCACAACCCAAACAGGTGAAGAAGCTCCTGTCACAACCATAAGTGTAGTGGAGGAAAAACCGACCGACGAAGAAATCAGTCCCATTGAAATAATTGAAATGCCTGAGGAAATGACAGTTGAAGAACAACAGACACCCGAAGGTAAGATTACCAAAAGAAAAGTTACAAAATGTGTCATCAAAAACAAAATGGGTCCCAAAGTAGAAACTACCGAAATCACAACAGAACAAGTAGACGATCAAACACCGATCATTTCAGTACACAAAACCGAACAAACCACAGATGAAACCACTGAACCATTCGAAATATTACATAAACCAGACAACGCAAAACTTATTGAGGAGGAACCAGAAACAGTTCAAGTGACACAAGTTCAAACAGACACCGGTGACATTAAAATTGTTAAAGTGACTAAACGAGTCATCAAAAAGAAGAAGGGACCAAAACAAGAAATTACGGAAATCGTTACCACTGAAGAAGATGATAAAGCTCCAGTAACCACTGTGCAAATCACAGAAGAGAAAAAACCAGAAGAAAAGAAGCCAACTGAAACGGTAGAGCTACCAGAGGAAACCACCGTTGAGGAAATAAAGATGCCTGATGGAAAGATAGTCCACAAAAAAGTGGTTAAACGAGTCATCAAGAAGAAGAAAGGACCTAAGATAGAAACCACGGAAATTGTCACAGAAAAAGAAGACGATAAACAACCTGTCATATCGGTACACACAACGGAAGAACTCGTAGATGACGATACAAAACCATTCGAGATGGTTTACGAAATTGATTCAGCAACTGTAGTCGAAGAGCCAGAACATGTACATTTCTCTCAGGTGCGTACCGAAACGGGTGACGTGAAGACAGTGAAAACCACAAAACGCATCATAAAGAAAAAGAAAGGACCAAATGAACAAATCACAGAAGTCTTAACAACCCAAGTAGGCGAAGATGCTCCTGTCACGACTGTCAGCATAATTGAAGAGAAACCCGCTGAACAAGAAACGCAACCGGTACAAGTCATCGAATTCCCTGAAGAAACCAAGATAGAAGAAGAAAAAACGCCCGAAGGTAAGGTCACTAAAAAGAAAGTTACAAAACGTGTCATCAAAAAGAAAGTAGGACCAAAAGTCGAAACTACCGAAATCACAAGTGAGCAAGTGGATGATCAAACACCTGTCATTTCAGTACACAAAACAGAACAAATCACGGACGAAGCCACTGAACCATTCGAAGTGCTACACAAACCGTACACTGCTACAATCATAGAAGAGAAACCCGACACTGTTCAAGTGACACAAGTAAAAACAGATACCGGTGACATTAAATCTGTTAAAGTTACTAAACGAGTTATCAAAAAAAGGAAAGGACCTAAGGAAGAAACTACTGAAATTGTTACAACACAAGAAGATGACAAAGCTCCGATAACAGTCGTCCATGTCACCGAGGAGGAGAGACCAGAGGACACCAAACCCGTTGAAGTGGTAGAGCTGCCTGAAGAAACCTCCGTAGAAGAAATAGAAACACCAGAAGGTAAGACAATTAACAAAAAAGTAACGAAACGCGTCATCAAAAAGAAGAAAGGACCCAAGATAGAAACTACTGAAATTATAACAGAAAAAGAAGACGACAAACAGCCCGTTATATCTATACACACCACGGAAACACTAACTGATGACGTCATGGCGCCGCTCGAGATGATATACGACGTCGATACAGCATCTATAGTCGAAGAACCAGAACGTGTACAGATTAGTGAGATACGTACTGAAACTGGGGACGTTAAAACAGTCAAAACCACCAAACGTGTCATCAAGAAAAAGAAAGGTCAAAAGGAACAAATCACAGAAGTCCTCACCACCCAAGTAGGCGAAGAAGCTCCTACAACAACTATCAGTATTATGGAGGAAAAACCAACGGAAGAAGAAATCGAACCCGTTGAAATTATGGAAATGCCAGAAGAGACGGCAGTTGAAGAACAACAGACACCCGAAGGTAAGATTACCAAAAGAAAAGTTACAAAACGTGTCATCAAAAAGAAAATGGGCCCTAAAGTAGAAACAACTGAAATCACAACAGAACAAGTAGACGATCAAACACCGATCATTTCAGTACACAAAACCGAACAAACCACAGATGAAACCACTGAACCATTCGAAATATTACATAAACCAGACAACGCAAAACTTATTGAGGAGGAACCAGAAACAGTTCAAGTGACACAAGTTCAAACAGACACCGGTGACATTAAAACTGTTAAAGTGACTAAACGAGTCATCAAAAAGAAGAAGGGACCAAAACAAGAAATCACGGAAATCGTTACCACTGAAGAAGATGATAAAGCTCCAGTTACCACTGTGCAAATCACAGAAGAGGAAAAACCAGAAGAAAAGAAGCCAACTGAAACGGTAGAGCTACCAGAGGAAACCACCGTTGAGGAAATAAAAAT